CAGATGCTGTATGTTTATGCAATAACTTTGAACTGTTTGGGCGTAATTGTTTTTCCCCTCGCCTACTCTGATAGAGTAGCAACATTAGGCTTGAACCATTAAAAGCTTTCCATACCTCACAACAGGGACAGATTGAAAATTTAGCTGAACTCGAGCTGAGGCACCAAGGTATATGTTTTCTGTTGGAATAATACCAGCTAGAATCCCAGGGATCCTTGTATGAGCGCTGGTCCTTGTCTGATCGCTGGTCCTTGGCAAATAAGTGGGAGGCTTGTGGTTTTTATAGCAAATAATCAGGAAGTGTGATTTACATACTACTGCCAATCTACATTTACCGCGGTTGAGTGTTTGTCAAAGATTGTGCTGCGTTTGCCTTGTGCAGAGCGATTAGTATCTTGTGACTGGGTGCACAATCAGAAAGCTTAGGATGCAATGAATGAAATTGAATTGATTCTGTAGGCAATTATGAAAGTGTGATGGGATTTTTTGAAAAGCAGTTTTATTTAGTTCAATTTAAAATTCAAAAAGATTGGGTCTTCTAAAAAACCCATTATCACTGGAGAAAAAAAAAGATGATGAGATTCTTATACTTGAGGGCTTTCTTTTAGCTAAGCCATAGATCAGCAACACAAGCCTATGGTAAAAAAAAAAAAGAAAAAAAAAACAATTTCTGAATCCTGAGTACTTTTTCAAAAGAGCAGGAAACAAGTTATTCACAAACAGGATATCCTGATTGCACTAATGTAATGGAAATTGAAATAAATGTAGAAAAGTTGGAATGTTTCCTTGCACAAGCTTGATTGAATAATTAACTTTTTATTCCCATGTTAAAAAATGTGCAGACCTTTTTCCGTGATGCATGTACTCTGCACGTCACAAAGCCAGCAATTTCAAAGAGGGGGAGGCTTTATTGATGAAAGTGGGCTTTTTACCAATAATGTCGTCATGTTATTACATCACATTTTTACCCAAAGCTGTTTTTTTTTCTGGCAAAAAGGTTCAAAGTCACCCCCTTCTGAACTCCCTGTGGCCAAGGGCATGTCTTCTGAGGTTAATATAAATATTTTTTTTTACCAGCCCAATAACTATTTTTTTCTCTATCAGTTGATGAATTAGCAGATAACTAGCAAATTTCATTATGTTGTCAAAACAGATCATCTCCTACATGGCAAATTAGTATGAACCTAGCATTTGCTGTGGAGTAATTAGGTGTTGCTAAGACCTTCTTGCCATGTTTACCACTTCTTTTAATTTGTTTTTCATACCTTCCAGTAACCTGCAGTTGTACTATTGGAAACTTCAAAGAAAATATTGAAGGGTTCACATTCATCATCCTGATAATATGCAGCTTGCGGAGATGTGCAGTTTTGGTCTTAGAACCTGGGTTATGACGGGCATTTGTTTGTGTGGACATTTCAGCCTTATTTAATCCATTTTCAAGGCTTCTCCAATTATGGAACAAATCTGATGCAGAGAATATGCTTTTACAATGTAACATTGTATACATAGTTAAACAGATTAAATAAAAAAAGAGAGATTTAAAAAAAAAACTTAAAATTGAAGTAGGAAAAAATGATGTAAAGCAGACTCTGTGTTAATTTGCTGAAATCATTGAAATAAATGCAGCCGCATATTCACTTCTTTCAGTATGACAAAGTAATTAAATGTACCATGTGCAAAAACAATTAATTAATTTACCATTCATGACCCGTTCAGGCAGTCTTTAGATACATGCATCCTTTTATCAGGTATGATTGATGAATTGCATTTCAAAACATCTGGGGTGAAGATGTATGGAAATTTGTACGTTTTTTTCTCTCGATGATTTTGAAAAAGTATTTCCTGTTTGTTACAGATGAATTAGTCCCATTTGGTTTTGCTCTTTTTTTTTTTATTTGTTCACAGTTTACTTCGCCTTAATTGACTTAAATTAGAAATAAAGGAGATGCTATTATAAGCACCAGTCGTGCAAACAAAGATGGGGGTTGTCTTTAAGTTTATTCAATCGATTTCTCAAAAATGCCACCATCAATGAAGAAAATTGATGGGAAAATTGCAGCTGGGTTTTAAACTGTTCTTTATCTATAGGTGGTGCTACTGAAAATGAATTGTCTGCTTTAAAAGATCAGCATCACTTCATCTCATTTAGACTGTGTTTATAAGTATATTGGAAAAAAATAACCGCAGTTATAAAGTAAATGTATGACACTTAGTGATGCAATGAACAATGGTAAAAAGGCTATTATTAGTTGCGGTTGTCTTAGCGGGAGCAGTGCTAACCAAATGGGGATTTCAAAGGAACCAGTCAATCATTCTAGTTTGCTGATTACAGCCGCTAGGTATTTAAGAAATATGATACCTACGCGCACGCACTTTAAGATATGCACGCATGCACAAGCCAAGTTTCTTCAACATTTTTCTTTGATGACACAGAATTTTAGAATTTGCTTTTTTTAGACTTGCCAGTGAAAAGTTTAAAAATTGAACATTATTTATTTGAAATATATAAAAAATGTAAGAGATGATGAAACATATTTGAAATTCAATAATTTTTACAAAAGGAAATTTTTATCAACATTTCTCTGCAAGGATTTTGTGCTAGAATATAAAGTGTTATCTCTTAGATCTTGATTTATTCATTTGCTTCTTATAACTCATGTTAACAAAATGTATCATTACATTGTAAACTCATTTAACGATTATTTTATTCCCTTTATGTGTATCGCAGTTGAAGTATTGGGAGACATTGACATCTTATTAACCTTGTATAATGTAACATTCTAAGGGAGCTACCCCAATGCCCCTCCCCCCCCCCCCTCCATGCTTGATAGGATCAGTAAACTGGATTACTTTTGATTGGGACACTAGAACTCTCATGTGGAGGTTTATGGAGTGTATATGCTAGTGAAGTTTATGGAGTGTATATGCTATGGAGTGTATATGCTAGTGAAAGGGGATTCTCTCCCCCCCCCCCCCCCAATCACCAATCACCAGCATTATTACATGATAGGATCAAACCTTAGTGTTACAATATAGACATCTGTACTTAGTAGGAACACAAGTTGGACATGAAAACAGACACAGTAATTTGATATTCAACCCTGTTGAAGAGCACTGATAAAAGGGTACCTAGCACTATGTTCTTGAATGAAAAGTATACTGTTGAATAATTTATTAAATCAATAAAAGCATTCTAGGTTTGACAAGTTATGTATGATAATTATTGTAAAGACCATCTGGGCTGATCACAGCATAATTTGTCTGTACAACTAAAGCAAATTACTTTTTTATCGAATTTCCATTCAGAGAAATTTCAAATGTGCCAAAACCATAATGATGCATGAATTACTTATTCATCAGGTGTTTTTTGATTTAGAAATTGTTCTTTTATATATACCTGGTTGTTAAAAATGTAAGCAAATGAAGTCTGCTGCCTTTGATGAGGCAACCCACTTGGGGTTTTACAGACAGGTGCCCTTGTATAGATTCAATGGTAAGGAACCAGTTATCGAAGGTCTACCTTGATAGTACTAGTCTATGCCAGGTTACTCTCTAGCAAAAAATCATGAATAATTGAATAGGAGTTATGATATAAAATAAAGGACGAGAACTGAATGAAGATTGGTCCCTGGATTAGAAGAAATGATGGATAATAATGATGATGAAAGCATATCATCAGATTAGGTAATGCACCGAGACGGAATATTTATGAGATAAAAAGAGAATGACTCAACAGATTTGGAACAAATTGCCATTGATATGTAGCTGAAAAGAAAGAACAGACACATCTAATTAAAAGAATCCTGGCCAACCTTTGGGCATAATTGCGAAGCAGATTCTATGGTTAAAAATTACGTTCAGAAATATATCACTGTAAGGTCTGCTTCAACCTCTTGCAAAGGGACAAAATTGAGCTGCTTAAACCGTTCTTCTGTATTTGTCTTCTAGGGATCAAAAAAGAGATTCATGGTTAAGTAATGAACACGCGTAATGATACAAACACATCATAAAACTCCCCAGTGATAAGCAAGCTGGGATGTCTGAGTTTTATGGTGGTTTAAAAGATATTGCCAGCAAGAACACTTTGAGGCTCTAGTTTAATAACTTGGGTTACAGGATTGAAAAAGACAGGAAATTGAAATGGGAGAAGGAAAAAAAAAAAGATATGGAAATATCAGGCTTATTTCCATTCCTTTGATACTTTATTACATTTAGTATGCAAAATGTGGCGAGATACAAAGAACTGAATGTACAAAAAAAAGAAAAATGATTAAATAACAGAAATATATCATTTTCTCTTGAATATTATGTTTTTGTCATAAGTATGTGTTTGTTGTGTGTGTTTGGGAAATGTCTTGCATGTACGTGCAGGTGCATGTGTGTGTTTCTGTGTTTGTGTGTATGTGTCAAATGTTTCTGCATATGTTTGTATGTACTTTTTTTCTGAAGATAAAGGAAAATTGTGTAAACAGAAGTGAAAAATTACATTTTAAGAGCTAAGACCCAACTTTTTGATTAGTCCAAATAAACTTTTAGCAATGTATTTGATTTTGACATGTGGTATAAGTAAAATCTACATAGTCTACATTTATCTCCCCAAAAAATTCACAAATGAACTCAGTTTAATTCTTAGAAAGCAGTCCTACAAAAATTGTGAAAGACACGCTTCAGGTTTCAGGTGGAATGTTTGGGTCTTAGGAAAATGGCTTTTATTCAGACTTTTTAGTTTTCATTTTTTGCTCTCCTTCTCTCTCTCTCTCTCTCTCTCTCTCTCTCTCTCTCTCTCTCTCTCTCTCTCTCTCTCTCTCTCTCTCTCTCTCTCTCTCTCTCTCTCTCTCTCTGTGTGTCTGTGTGTGTGTGTGTGTGTGTGTGTGTGTGTGTGTGGTATCTCTCACTCTATAAAACTACACAGAAGTATACTAAAATGACAGATGATCTTATCCACCAAGTATAGCCCAGTTGTAACGTTAGTTCTCAAGTTATCATTATATCCGTTTCAGGTTGTACGCGTGCGGCATCCCAGGGCTAGAGGGCAGAAGGCTGGAGTTTCTCGGACTTCTCAACTGTGCTCACGAAGCCTGCAGGAGGGAGAACATTCCTGCCCTAAAGGTGTGTCACCTGCATGTGTTACCATCCTTCAATTCATCACTAGAACAAATTAGTCAACAGTCAATTAACCAAACATATTTCATAGCTTGCTAATGACAGTGGGACAAAATCAATTTAAATTGACTCAATTTTTCTTCCTTATCGGTATAATTTCCATTTACAAGTGAAGTTAGAATGTTGATTTATGAGTTAACTAGTCATCATTAGGGAGACTGCATACTATTCAACTGTGATGATATGAGTTACATTTCACATTGCAACCAAGCAAATATGTATAGGACAAAGGAATAATACTACAATGCTATGGTATGGTGTATATGTGTGGGTGTGTCAACATGTCTGTCTGTCTGTCTGTCTGTCCATCTGTCTGAGTTTGCTCTGTCCCGTAAAGCAGGAGCTGGAGTCCCCGTGCAAAAGAGACTATGAACTGCATTTGGCCATGCATTGGCCATAGACATTCACCACTAACTGACATCTAACCTTGCAAGTGTAGCTGTTTGCCAGTGTTGAACAACCCTGGCTATAAACACTGCCATGATTTCTTTGCCAGACAAAAATTAATGGTGAACCTCAGCATGAATCTGTACGTGCCACTTGCTGTTCCAGTCTCCCCAATATCCTTATCTTACATCACATTAGAGGCCGAGGAGAGATAATTGCTCTAGTCTCGCTTAAAAGAAAAGGTCAGATCGAATGAAAGTCGGAAAGAAGTTGTTGAAAGAAGACTTCTTATTGTTGGGTTTTTGTAGAAGAATGGTGCTTTGTGTTGCTGCTTCTGTAGCCAGAAAAGGTTGTGTTATTTTGGGATTATTGGTGGTCTTTTATCCAAAAAGTCACGAAGTCAGAATAATATTTTCTGATTATCCATTTGACATTACTGGTCTGCAAACAAAAGATCTTTATATACCCATCAGGGGTCATTGTCGCTGACTTTCAAATGCCAGTGAGGAAAATGTGATTTTTTAGACAAATGGTCTGACAGATTCACTTTGCTGTCTCTTTGCTATTGTTTTTCTTTCCTGAATTTTTTTGTGTGTACGTAATAATGACTTCTGATCTTTGATGTTTAAACATTTCCTAGATGCAATGCAAAATAAAAAAAAAAAGTATTTTAAAGCTGTAGGAGTCAAGCTAGCTATAGAAAAGAGTGTAAACATTGAATGTTGCCTCTATGATCAGTCCTAGATTATGAGTCACAGAATTAATTTGTTGGAATCTGTGATCTTGTGTTTATACCTGTATACAAAAATAAATGAAATAATGAATTAATAATGATAGTAACAAAGATGAAAGAGAATGATATAAGGAAATAATATGAAAATGTATATGGGTGTATTTATATGTGTTCATGTTCATAAATCGTGGCAAATTTAGGTATATTTTTTGTCTTTGATTTATCTTCTGACAAATTGTCTGTCCTTGATGTTTTTTAGATCCATATTATGTTTGTTTAAATTAACAATGGAAAGTTGGAGAAATATTCTCATTTTGAATTTTTGGCCCCACATAACTTCCTAAAATACTGGGCCCAAGTATTAATACTGATTTGGTTGCTTGCTATTAGCCTAATACACCAGTTTAAAACCGGTAAACTCCAGGATTGCAATATATATTGCTTAAGAAAATTGTGTTTGATAGCAGCCAATGCCTTTTTATAGTGAAAAAGTTTTATATATGTTATCATTGCAGTATTTGTGGAATCCAGCATTTTTAAATGTTGCTGCAGATTTTCTCAAAATGTAAGCTGCATTTTTTGACTGTTGAGTACAAGTCATTCCAGTATCTCTTAAAAATGCCTCTTAGAGAGTAAATAATATTGGATGTATCTGTTAGAATTAAGACCTCCAAGAACATTTCGATAATAGCTTTGTGTAATTGATGATTGTGGCTGACCTCGAGTAAATAAAAAGATGGACTCCAAGAAGACATGAAATGGCATTTACAGCGTATTAGTAAACATGATGCGTTTTCACAGCTTTGTTTGGCTATTTATGTCAGAGCAAAATGCCAGTAAAAAGTGATGAACTGCACTGTCAAACATTGCCAGAATAATGTAAGATGATTATAGGCATTATTGGTATGATTGTCAGCTTTCCTTACTGTATCCAAGTTTAGAATTAAATCAGTTTTACTGGGCAGTGATTGATGGATGTGGTTAATTGCACAGTCCATCCTTCCAGAATAATTCCCAGATATGATGTAAAATTTGTTGCTTTAGTTGTCAGTTTATCCCCACATCCAGTCCTGTAATTATAATGTACTTTACGATATCTAGACTGACATTGTGTTATTCTGTAGAAAAATCTCTCTTCAGTGCAAGAAATATTTCCACTGACATTTTAAAAAATTAAATAAAAAAATGAATATATGGATGAAGTGAAATTTTATCAATTTGATGAAACCAAAAAATATGATCTTGTGAACTAAGCCATTATCATTTGATTCCAGTGCTTGCTCCAAGTTTGTTGTTACACCGGAAACTTAAGAGCATTTCTCAAGATTAATGTTTTTATGTTTTGTTAAATTGAAATAGTTGGATTTTGAAAATGATCAATTGCAAGTAAAAGTTTGTGGTAACATTATCATGCCATGATAATAGTTAGCTGATTAAAATACAAAAATGTCAATTCCTTTTATATATATATTTCATTTGTATTTTACTAATTTATTTTGGTATTTAGAAAGTGGTTTGCCTTATAATTGATATAGAGAATAGGAACCATCTAGAAAAACCGGGTTATGTAAAATAATAAAGAAAGCTTTGTTGGAATTTACTTAGATCAAAACCATAATATGATACTTTTGGGCTCAGTTTTCTGTAAGTTTTATTTGGAAGAATTAACTATGTTCTTGAATTAGAATCCCTTACAAAAATATCAGGCCTGCTGCAAATTTGCTGCAGTATTGCTGCAAACTTTTCATTTTCCTAAGGGATGCTATGCTATAAATTGCATACAACAATAGCACAGAAAATGCTACAAACGTACACCTTTGTAGCTCTGAAACTTTTACTGTGTAGCCCTAGCTGTTAAAGCACTTATTAAATAGAATAATTATGAATGAGGATTAAGGGAGTCAATTATGATATTCACAAAGGAAGTTTTATGGAATAATATTTCTCATTTAATTAGAGAGGGACTTATGAAGAGGGATTTAAGAAAAGCAGTGGCAGACAAAAACTCAGCCTTACATCTTGTACATCCCTTCTTGTCCAAATCCAACTTTCTCCTCGAGACTGAAATATGACCAGGGCACACAGGAAGGCATTGGAAAGTGGTTGAAGAAAATATTTCTTTAAAATATATATATATGAGTAACCTCAAACCATTTTTTAGCCTCCCAACAATTTACACCCACACCCCGCAGACTGCTGGATACCCAGTCGTATTTGAATATTTTAAGCTGGGGATGTCTCTTGAGAATATGCTGCAAGATTTAATTTGATTAGTAAGGTTTGAGTAGTTTAGTTCCTGATTCTTTGCGGCAGTTGATTTTGAAGGACTTGGTTCTGGTGGTCCCCCACACAGCGGTTTGTAGTAAATTATGGTATCATAAATCATACAATATTTAAACACATTTTGAAAAAAAATTTTTCTGTTTTTCTTTTAAGTAAAGAAAGATAGTGATAAAGTAGATAATTTCTTAAGAGACTAAACATGTTTTGTACCTTTGAGAGTTGATGTTTCTAAGACTGACGGAAGGGTTGAAATGAAAGTCATGCCTCTTTGGTAAAACAAGTTTAGTCTTTTTAGAAATTATGTACTTTATCACCATCTTTACTCAAGGGACAATAAAAAAAAACAGTTTTCCTGTCCTCAGTGTTATCTTATGTATTTTTTAACTAAAATAATTGTATTTGATAATATTTTGAGTTATCTAATTTTATCAATTTTTTTAGGTAATGGTGATAGAAAAAGAAAGAAAAAAAAGGAAAAAATCAGGGGCGTATACTGGAAAGAAACAAACTCTTTTAATATTAAGAAAAATGTCTTCATCTTTCCAGGTGACAGGAGATGACAACGAGAACCAGATCATTCTCAGCGTGCAGGTGTACCAAGACAAGCCCAAACTGCTGCTGAAGGCACTAAACCACCTGTACCAGCATTTTAGAATCGACCTGGTGACCAGACAGAGAGATGCTTTGATGGTAAGTTTACATGTCATAAAGTCCTGGTAAGTTAAGTTCTGAGGCCCGAATTCTTGAGATATTTCTCAGGTGAATGGCCGATTACTATAGTAAGGCCAGTGTCACTGACATCAATATTTTCTGCTTAAAAAAAGGTCAGGAGATGAGGTCGAGTTTGGAAAATTGAAGATGAATTGGCTTCCATCCTGCAATTAGAAGGGTGGGTCTTGACTCCAATTTCATCTTCACTGATCTAATGACTTTTAATGAGGGCGAGACGTCTTATCTCCCCTTCTTTTTTAAGATGAATCTTAGACAGATTATCAGCAGTAGGCATAGTAAATCCTCTGGTGTATGTCGATCATCTATTCTCTAATTCTTCCATTGAGGCAAATGAACTATGGAGTGTTATCTGATGGGCATGCTGAAGCTCTTCCGATAGTCGTTTGCCAAGAAGATAACTGGATACTATGAAGCATTTTTTTCTTGAGACAGTGAGACAAGCTTGTATCTATCATTGGCAATTTTGTGATTGATTCAGTTCCTCAGACTTCTTGAGTTGTGGGGGTGGGTGTAAGAAGATATAGGAAATGAGAGAAAGAGTTATGTCAGTCAGGCTTGTATTCATATGTTATACTTTAAAATATCTTCTTTTTATGACAGAGTTTGTTGGACATTAATTGCATGGTTCTGCAGGACAGTTTCTTCTTTATAACATTTTGATTACGTTTTGTTGAACTTTGAATACAACTAGGTGCTTCAGAAGCTGCTCATTCTTCATTCTTTGTCTCTCTGCTGTTCTTAGTATCTTTCTGTCTTCTCTCTATTCTCCTTCTGTATTCAGTTCTGTAAATTCAATTTGGTGCTTTGTATAATTAAAGATGCATATTAAGCTAGTACTAAATATGCCAAAGTATTGCAGGTAAACCTGACCACATGTCAACATGGTGTTCTGAATAGAAATACCGCAAGGTTATATAACATCATCCCCCCCTCCCCCCCCCCAAAAAAAAAAAAAGAAAGAAAAGATATTTACACATAAATTTCTGGAGTACGTTTTGTGCTCCTCTACAGTACTAATAATTTGTATACCTTACAGGGTATTTCATTTCACTTCCTTGAATCTTAATATAAGATTCATGTCATGCTTCAGTTGTTTGACTGTGTTGCATGTCTACATATATATTACTTATTATCATGTGTGAGAAAAAACACTGTGTGTCACTGCTATTCATGCCATTGAAACAAAAAAAAAAAACAAAAAAACAAAAAAAAAAGATTAATGCATAAATAACATGGTCTTAGGCCTATCATACTTTGATCTTTACGTGCTTGATTTATATTTTCATTTTTAGAGTGAGATTATTATTGGGAGTACGTGTAACTTTTTGCCCTTTTTTCATGTACTATAATTATGTAATCAATGAATATCTACCAAACACCAGGTTCTGGTTTGACAATATGCGTAGTAATCAATTCATGTCAGGCTGGTTAATTTCGTTGTTGCCACGATGACTAGTAAAGAGGTGAATCTTAAAGATACTGATCGGGGGGTATGGCTTTAAGTCATGTTGAAATGTTTTGCACAGAAGATATAAAAATAGAAAGCAAAAGCAATGGTAAATAGAAATTTAGCAAAAGTAATGAAAGTAATGGTAAGAAAGAATTACTTAAATTTGTTACACTGTACTTTGCCAATGAATCCTACCAGTACCATTAAAAAATTATTTTTCATTTTATTGACATTGTTGATTTGAGGTTGTTTTTTGTGTGGATCAATATAATTTGGTTGAAATCAGTTTTTCAAAGAATTTGTGATTGAGTGCTACATGTATTTTCATATTAAACTCATTTATTTTTCCACCCAAACAAGCCAGAGGATCATTTCCTATTTCATTTCCTACAAGATATGATTTGTCAATTTTTGTGTGCCAATGAATTCCAACTGGAATCAGTTTTTCTAAGATTTTTTTGATAGAGTGCCATATACATATTTACCAAATGAAATTAGTCTAGTTTTGCACCCAAGTGTTCCAGTGAATCATTTCCTATTTGATTTCGTACAAGATATGATTTGGAAATTTTCCCTGTGAGTAAACCCCAGCAGGAAATATTAAATAAATGAATATGAGGGTTTAAACATGAAAGATGGAATGAAGCCACTAAACTACCCAGTGTTTGATTTTTCAGTCTGTCTTAGTTTATTCGCTTCCTGCCACTGTCTGGTATATTTTAAAATGCCTTTGACTATTTGCGAAATGGGTTCACATTGATAAAAAATCTGGACTAATCACTATAAATGTTGCATTTGAAGTGCAGGTCGACTGTATCTGTCCCTGGTGTAAGAAAGAATTAAGCTTAGACCTGTAGAAGTAGTTGGGTTTTCATTATAAAGTCTGGATAAATACTTTGAAATACCTCAATAAAAAGATTGTCTGGCAGGAAAAAAATGAGGTAGATTCACACCAAGTGAAATCTGGTTCAACCACTGTACGTGTCAGGCGCACAGCAAGTGACAGATGTGAACCCATTCAGGGTGCACCTTGTCTGCCTCGTCCATGCTATCTCTCTCTGCCAGAGGGGAGATTTAGATTCAAAGAGCAGGGAGGGGATTTTTTTTTCATAGAAAGATAAAGCAGGCTTTGCGGCTAACATTTAAACTGCATTAGGTGTGACATTATATTGAAATTTGAGATCACACACATGTAGTTCTCAGTATGTCCTCTGCACAGAGCAAAATTCAGAATTGATTTTGAAAATATATAGATCTGGATATCAAGCTGGAAATGAATGTAACAGGTCAGTTTTACATGTGGGACTTAGAGCACATTCAAAGCACATTAAAAAAAATTGGAAAATACTTAATAATATCCAATGTTGATTGCTTTTCTTCTTTTTTGCTCACGGTGGACAAGTGTGGTATTTTAAAGTTGTTTTTTCAGTGCTTTTTAGTTTCACTGACCAATCAAGGTTACACAGCCTAGATTGAGTACAGTAAATCAAGCAATTTAAGCCAGCAATTAAGGCAGTTAAGGCAGTCCAAGGGATTTGGCTAGAACTTGTGAATTGGCAGTGCCTGAGTAGTTTTGCTAACAATTAATTACCTGTCCTATAATTACCCTGGAGATTTCATAGCACGGTCACAGCGAAGAAAAGTTTCATGAATTAACCAAAGACACATATGTGAATGTCTTGTAAAAAAATCAATCTGTAGCCCTGGTAGAGGGTAGTACCATATGTACTTTTGCTGATGAGTGTTGTGTCTGTCTTGTACCATGGCTGATTTATATGTGGTATGTGCAGCACCCATGGCGTAAGCCAGTTAATTTCTGTTCTTCAACAGGAGATTGCTGTGCTGCTGCGATTACCCTCTGTGTTTTTCACTTCATGTTCTAACACCAGTTATGAAAAAAAAATTCAGTGCTTCACTTAATTGACACATTTACTTCAAAAGAAACCTATCTGACGGCTGATTGACGGACAGGATCCTCTTGAGAGTCGCTCTGATGAGTTTTTTTAAAACTGGATTTGTAAGTTTGTAATAATCTACCGCTGACAAGCTTTGGCACTTCCTTGGCTAATTATACCTACAGTGTTACATAAGTATTTTTTTTTTGTCCAGAAATGAAATTTCATTCTTGATTCATAACTCTGATGTCACCTTAAATGGCACATGAAAGTAGACAAATATAAGGCTTAGACCCCATTCCCATACCTAGATCAATCTAGCTGGATCGGTCTATCTTCAAGGGGATTCTTGCTAAATTACATTCATCTTAAGAGGCTTAGATATCTGGTAAGCCAACTGAAGCTGCTTAATGATAGTTAATAACCCCCTTACATCAAAGTATAATTAAACTTATTAGGTTGTTTTATGTAACTTTTAATTGGAGTATTACTGGTAGAAGTTGGGTATGTTATTGACAGATCACGAAGATTTTCATTTTATACTTTGTATAAATATGATAATAAAGTTATCTCATGTCATCTTAAGTGTCTGTAATGATGATTTCTTCATTTTTGTAACTCTTCTCTATGAATGGCCCATATTTATGTTGGAAACCATTGATTTAACACATATGAAATCATAACTCAGTTTATGATTTAATTGATGTAATCCACCAATTTAATATATTCAGTAGACTTAATACATTCAGTTCATTTTTCTCTTACTGCTATTTTATCATTGTTGGTTGAAATAAAGAAATCTGATACTTATTTACACCTTCAGGGTTAATACTAAATCATTATACCATATCTGGCGAATTAAGTGTTTTCTTGTTAACAAATTATTGCTAACAGATGTATTTTAACTACTTTAAGTGAACAGGTCTCAGATAGCAATGGAAAAAAATGTGTTTGCTTTCATTTCTTACCTTGACAGATAAATGACCAGTGGCATGGTGTCTTTATTAAATGTGAAGAAATGTTGGCATTTTCCCCAGGAGCCAAATATCCCATTAAATTAACCTATGTGCTCTTGACCAGACGTAGATTTATTGATTATTTCTGGAAGTTTGAAGTGCTTGCTTACAGATTTTACATTAATTTTGCAGCTGGGATTTCCACAGCTAATAAAGAACCATTCAGAACAATCTTTATTGCATTTACCTATGTATATATCGCACACATAGCTGTCATACAAGCAACAGACTAATGTCACTGTTTTGATTCGTTTTCCTTGATTGTTTTAAGCACCCTGGTTATTTTTCTTTGAATGACTTTATAGTCGGATATAAAATACATATATCACTCCATGAACTGCCAGGAGATGACGATATATATGATATAATGGTTAACTTTGTGATTACAGTGATCTGGTTTATGCTTTTTGTTTTCTATATATGCAATACAATTGTTTTATACAGAAATAACCAAAGTGGCAGCACAAGTGAACTGACTTGTATAACTGTAACATGGTGCTTTATCCAAATTTAAGCTCAAGTCCCTTTTAAATTGATGGTATACTTTTGAGGTACAGTAGTTGTAGCAGTTCACTTTGAGAGATTAACATTTTAATA